TATTTCAAGCCATCTTATAAAAAAGTCACTAAACCGGGGTGCCTGGGTGGCTCAGTCGTTAAGCGTCTGCCTTTGGCTCAGGTCATAATCCCAGGGTCCTGGGATCGAGCTCCGCATCGGGCTCCCTGCTCAGCGGGAAGCCTGCTTCTCCCTCTTCCACTCCTGCTTGTGTTCCCTCTCTCACTGTGTCTCTCTCTGTCAAATAAATAAATAAAATCTTAAAAAAAAAAGTCACTAAACCTGTGGAAATCAAATCGTCTTTTATGTATTAGTTCTTCAAAGTCTTATTTACTGAAGATAAAAGGAAAGACCATCATTATTAATCCTGAATAAAATACACACACATATGCATCACATAATACTCAACTATTTATCTGGGATAAAAAAAAAATCCCCAGTGAATTCCAGAATATTAACAGAATATTTCATTCTTCTTTATTGCCCAGATAAAATTCATGATGTAGTAACAATTACCTAAGGACCTAAGAATGTTAACATGAGCTTATCTGATGTGCACAAACACCTCGTCTGCCTTCATTTATAAATTCCCCCCATGATCCATTGTTAAAGAAACACAAATCCAGGAAAAAATGTACCCCCTGTACAAATATTTAGAAAATAATAACAGTTCAGATGACTACTGCAAATTTATAGCTGTGGGTAGAAGGCATCTAAATTCTTCCCTTCCTCTCTTGTCATCCCACCTCCTCAAAAACAAACTGCAGGCTCAATGGTTTTCTTGGGCACCTTCATGGCTACATAGGAAATTTGCTAAATTGTGAATTCAATAAAAATTGCTAAATTAACTGCACTGTGGGGGGTGATTCATTTATACCAATTAGACATGACCTTCTCCTGAGCATGGGGTTTGAATGCGTCCGTCTGTCTCTCACGGTTATAATCTTCAATGATTGATAATGCTCAACTCAAGCTTGAAGAAACAGAAATGACTTTCTCCTTTTAGGTAGCTGCTGAATTGACTCCCATTGCTGTTCTTGCTCATTCTGTATCCTTAAGAATGATTTAGACAAGTTTGGAAGTTTGTAAAAGTTACTTTTCTTTTTAAAAGAGAGACAACCTGTAATACAAAATAAACCCCAAGAAATCACCGTCAAAAACTTTACGCCCAAACTTTGCGCCCATAAACATGTCATTTGTAGCAGATGCTACCAAATTCCCCTCACCAGCTGACACATGCATTGCTCTGTGGCCATGGCTGGTGGCTCAGAGCTCCCCCCTTCTCTGGAGGATTGCCATTGGCTGATGGGAGCCACCTTGCATCTGTGAGGTTTCTGTCCCCACAGGTGGCTGGCCAATGACTGACTGATGGAGGGTACAACAGTCAGCCTCCTTCCCTCAGGGCAGGGCAGCCCCAGTGGTACAATCCATCCTCCATAGCTCCCCCTGGAGTCAGGCTCAATCTAACTTTCTCTTCCTTAGGTCCTCCCCCTACTTTATCCTGCATCCCTCATGTCCTGAAAAGTCTCTTCTGGGAGCATTCCTGCAATAAAGCATTTACAGAAGAGTTTCCATCTCAAGCTCTAGTTCTAGGGAGCTCGAACTAAGACTCTGTTTTAATAACCTATTTTCATTCTAGAAGAAGTTGGGTTAGGCTCTAGAAACAAACAAAAAAAGTAAACATTTGGGCCACTAGAATTAGTGTGGCTAGAATTAAGTGACTATATTCATAGCAAAGGGGTCATGTTCATCTTTCTCTGATTATCAGAAACCAGATAAAGAAAATGTCTCCGTGTTTAAATCACTTCAACTGACAGTCTGAAAGTGATTCTGCTTTGATGAACCTTTACTCTTCTGATGGTCTAGGTCTGGATCTCCATCCCTGTGCCTTCTTTTGGTTTACCTTGCCCCTAGAGACAGAAAGAGGGTAAAAACAGGTCACTTACTGAGTACTGACTGCATAGACACAAAATTAGAAACCTTACAGGTGTAATTCCATTTGATTCTCATGACAGGTTATTGAGGGTCAGATTATTATCCCTACTTCATAGAGGATGACACTGAGATTCAGAGACCATTTGTAACTTGATCCAAGCATAGGCAGCTAGGAAATGGCAGAGTGAGGATTCAAATCCAGGTCTGCTGACTACAAAAGCGTCATTCAATTTTTTTTTTAATTAACACATAATATATTATTGGTTTCAGAGGTACAGGTCTGAGATTCATCAGTCTTATATGATACCCAGTGCTCATTACATCACGTGCCCTCCTTAATGTCCATCAACCAGTTACCTCATCCCCCCACCCCCCCCCTCCCCTCCAGCAACCCTCAGTTTGTTTCCTATGATTAAGAGTCTCTTATGGTTTGTCTCCCTCTCTGGTTTCGTCTTGTTTTTTTTTTCCCCTCCCTTCCCCTATGATTGTTTTCTTTCTTTTTTTTTTTTTTTAAGATTTTATTTATTTGACAGAGAGAGACACAGTGAGAGAGGGAACACAAGCAAGAGGAATGGGAGAGGGAGAGGGAGAAGCAGGCTTCCCGCAGAGCAGGGAGCCTGATGCGGGGCTCAATCCCAGGACTCTGGGATCATGACCCAAGCTGAAGGCAGACGCTTAACGACTGAGCCACCCAGGTGCCCCTCTGTTTTCTTTCTTAAATTCCACATATCCGCAAGATCATATGATAATTGTCTTTCTCTGATTGACTTATTTCGCTTAGTATAACACCCTCTAGTTCCATCCACCTTGTTGCAGATAGCAAGATTTCACACTTTTTTTTTTTGATGGCTACAGAATTTTCCATTGTATATATGCACCACATCTTCTTTATCCATTCATCTGTGGATGGACATCTGGACTCTTTCCATAGTTTGGCTGTTGTGGACATTGCTGCTATAAACATTGGGATGCAGGTGCTCTTTCAGATCACTGCATTTGTATCAAAAGCCACATTCTTAACCAATTTACACAGTGCCTATTTAAAGATAAGGACATACATGGAAGAGAGTATTTCCTTTTTTTATTTGAGAGTATTTCCCTCTAACCTTAAGCATCTACATCTTCATTTCTGCAGCAGTGTCGGTGTCCCTTTTCCCATACTGCACCCACCGTCAACTCCTGCAGGCTTTCCAACCACTGGTTCCCCCAGGACCCACAATTCAATTTACTGAATTGCCTTTGAGCACTGAGATAGCCTTACCAGTACCTTCCCTAGACTGTAGTTATTAACAGATGCAGGAATCCAAAAGCCCAGTACTTTTTGCCTGTTCTCTATAGCTCTCCAGGAGTTAAAATGAAGCTGGGGTGGGGGGGGGGGGGCCTCACCAGAAAGCTCACCCTTATTTGGTTTCCTTCACTTCTCTGTCCTGCTCACTCCCACCCCCTGCACTCCCCCAACCCCTTGTGCCCCCCCCCCCAGTGGTCTCTCCAAGAGTATTTTCTCAACAAATCACCTGCTCCTGAATTCCTGGCTCAGTGTCTCCTTCTGAGAGAATCATAACTAAGTCAACATACATAAAGGAATGAAACAGACAAATACTACTAAAATCACTTTGGCATTCTGGACTTCTGGATGAACTTGTTTTGTTTTTTTCAAAGAAATAATTTTGTTGTTTATTGAAAAGTAATACATTCTCATTGCTAAAAAGAAGGATAGCAAATATAAATTAAGACAATAAAAGTCAATTCAGAATTCTAAAACTCCGAAAGATTACTATTTGAGTATTGCATATTTATATGTCTGAAATTACTATACATACCATTTATACTGGCTTTTTTTTTTTTTAAGATTTTATTTATTTGGGAGAGAGAGCACGAGTGGGGACAGAGCAAAAAGGAGAGGGAGAGGGACAAACAGACTCCCCGCTGAGTGCAGAGCCCAACATGGGGCTCTATCCCAGGACCCCGAGATCATGACCTGAGTCGAAGTCAAATGCCTACTGACTGAGCCACCCAGGCGTCCCTATGCTATTTTTTTTTAAATGTCTTTGACATGCTTTCTTTCTATGCCAGTAAAATTTCCTCTACAAAATATTTTTTTAAGCTTATATAGTGTTCAGTACTGTAATTTTTGGGGGTGGGACCAAGCCTTTAGGTGATGCTACTGGTCCATGGACCACTCTTTGATTAGTACTGATGGCTTTCTAAGGCCATCAGAGAACTCTGGCTTTGGTCTGTTTCGGTTTAGTGTTAATCTTGAAATAAACTTCGTCATTTGAATGTTCCCTCACACAATTCCCATTCAAACATGTTGATGAGTCATTCAAATGAATATAGACATATATGGGGAAAGAGAATTAATAGGACTTGACATTAATACTTTCAGTGAACATTTACAAGTGGCTGAAGGTGATCACAGAACACTACTATAGATGCAACTAGCACTGAGGAAGTGTTGTATTCACTAGGGTGACAGCAGAAATTTAGACCTTCTGATAGTCTGCTATTTTCCTTGTTCTTGAATAAAACCATGGGTAAGGCATTTCCCACCGTATTCAAGAAATAAAATGTCCTCTAATTATTTGAGGAAAAACCATGGGTAAGGCATTTCCCATCGTATTCGAGAAATAAAATGCCCTCTAATTATTTGAGGAAAAACCATGGGTAAGGCATTTCCCATCGTATTCAAGAAATAAAATGCCCTCTAATTATTTGAGGAAAAACCATGGGTAAGGCATTTCCCATCGTATTCAAGAAATAAAATGTCCTCTAATTATTTGAGGAAACAACATGTCTTGTTCTCAGGAGCCACCTTGAAGGGGCTTCCACTAGCCAAATCAGGGACAATTGAAAATCAAAGTCATATTAGTAAAGGATTATAACTCATTAAATAAAAAAGGAATGCATGGGTCCATACTTATTTAAATACATAAATTAATGGGTTAGAAGAAATAGTTCTGTCCCAAAGTAGAAAACCAACTAAGAAATGCTGAAAGAATGATGAAATTAGAAAATCATCTTATGACAGCCATCACTGTTATAACCATTTCAGACAAAAATCATGAATGTTAAAGTTAGTAGGTGAAAATTATGGGGGTAACAGGAAATTTATATAGTTTCATAGATTTTATTCATAAGATACTAAGTACAAAGGGAAAAATAATAGCTTTACAGTAGAGAAATACCACTTCACCAGATGGATACTACTTTAACCAAGAGATTAGAGTTCACAAAGTTTACATCATATATCAACATCACGTGCTTCCCGATATGATGTACTGAGAAGGGCACAATATCACATCTGTGGTATTCCTGCCTAAAATGTATCACTTGAAGCTATCTTGAGGAAACATAAGATATCAAAATTGAAGGACATTTTACAAAATAACTGGCATGCATTCTTCTAATATATCAATGTCAAAAAAAATGAGATGAAAGAGATGGGGCAACTCATGCAGCCCATGATCTGGGATTTTCTTTCACTGTAAAGGATATGATTGCGACAAATAACAAAATCTGAACAAGGTCTGTAGACTAGTTAATTCAAATATTAATTTCCTAATTTTGGCAGCTGTAATATGGTTCTGTAAAAGAATGTCTTTGTTTTTTGGAGATACGTACTGAAGTATGTAAGGTAAGGGACATCATGTCTTCCACTGACACTCCAATAGTTGAGGAAAACAAATTATACATACATGGGTATATAGAGAGAGAAAGAAAGAAAGAAGATATGTGGTTAACATGTAGGTAATCTGGGCGAAGGATATACAGGAATTCTTTGTAAAATTCTTGCAACTTTTCTGTACATTTCAAAACTTCGAAATAATTAAAAATAAACATACACACAAAACTCATAAAACAAACAAAATTCAGTTCTGTCTAATAGCAAATCTCCAGGCTCCATAATATACAACTTGTAAGGAACTCCAGCTCAAGCCCGCCTCAGGGGAAAGTGGGCCTGGTTAGCTACTTGCTCACTCATCCAGCCTCCTCACCACTCACTAGCTCCATTAAAGGCTCTTCCACAGGTGGAAAGTGAGGGAGGGGATAAAGCAAAGGGTTTTTGTCATACATGGCTGACAGAGTTGTAATTTGGAGTCTGTGCCCTTTGCTAAGGCAATCCTAAAGTGAACTTCTGTCTGGATATTTTTGGCACTCCTGCCCAGCATTCACTGCATTTCCTGTATGGGTGATGCCTCCCCTCGCTTTTTACTCAGCAGTACACCTCCAGCAATGGTCAGTTTTCTGTCTCAATTTGGCTGGGTTATAGCACCCAGTTACTCAGTCAAACAGTAAGTGTAGGTGTTGCCGTGAAGGAGCTGCATAGATGCAATTAACATTTACAATTAGTTGACTCTATATAAAGGAGATTATCCTCTGTAATCTGGGTGGGCCTGATCCTCTCAGTAGAAAGGCCTTAACAGCAGAATTGAAGTTTCCCTGTGGAAGAAGAGATTCCACTTGTGAACTGCAGGGACAGCTCTCACCCTCTCACCTAAGAGTTTCCAGCCTGGCCTTCCTGATGGCCTGCTCTGCCAGTCCCACAATCATATAAGTGAGCCCCTTGCAGTAAATCCCTTGCTCTATCTATCATCTATCTATCATCTATCTATCTATCTATCTATCTATCTATCTATCTATCTATCATCTATCTATCTATCTATCTATCTATCATCTATCATCGCCTATCTATCTCTACTACTGGTTCTATTTCTCTGGTAGAATCCTGACATACCTCTTTTCCAAGTATCAGGCCCCTGCCCTAAATCCCAGTGGACAATTGTAAGGGTTCATGGTGGGTCTCTTAAACCCCCTCTTCTCCCTTGCTCCCACCCCATACATTTGCCTTAAGAAAAAGTCACATATGATATCTGGTCATTCTTTATCATATATATGTTTTTTTGGCATCTGGAAATTTTGCTCAAAGTTTCAGCTAGTGTATGAATACCACTTGAACTGTTTCTTAATTGCACAAAACCCTGGGGGCACATCATCCTTGCTGGGGAAATGCTTATTTTATAGTAAACAGAAGATAAGGGAAGGCACTTTTTTTTTTAAAGGTTTTATTTATTTATTTGACACAGAGAGAGAAAGCACAAGTAGGCAGAGCGACAGAGGGAGAGGCAGAAGCAGGCTCCCCACTGAGCAAAGAGCCCAATGTGGGGCTCAATCCCTGGACCCCGGGATCATGACCCGAGCTGAAGGCAGACACTTAACCGACTGAGCTACCCAGGCATCCCAGGGAACGCACTTTTAAAATTTTCGCTAGGGGGTCTCAGAATCATAACTAGTACTGTAGTTGTTGTCTTAGTTTGGGTCCTTCCAGAAGCAACCTTGAGACAAGGGTTTAGGTATATGTATTTCAGAGGTGATCTTGATAAAGATCTGTAGGTGTGGGAGAAATGTGGGAGGACAGAGAAGGGAAAGTGGCCAGTGAAGGGTGTGTTATCAAATTACCACTGTGGGCAATGTGATCTTAACCTCTCAGGGGAGCTTTAGCAATCAGTAGGAATGCGCACTTCCAAACAATCCAACTAGGGCAGTGAGGGAGCTGGGGTGTTAATACACCATATCTTTTCAGTCTCTGGTTGAGAGCTGCTTCCAGGAGGCTCTCATTCTCACGTACTTGGGTCCTACTATGTCAGAGGCAGCCTTCCAGCATCCATGGAAGTCAGGCCTACTTCAATCCCAAAGCAGAGGAGAAAGGGGTGGAGTGCTGACAGCGTCTGCTAGAGGTGATAAAGTTTATCTGACCCAAGGTACCGGATACATACCAGTATCTAATACATACAATGGTGTGTCAGAAACAAACTCCTTACTTAATGGATTAAAACTACTTCTCTTCCCGGGGTGCCTGGGTGGCTCAGTCGTTTCGGCTCAGGTCATGGTCCCAGGGTCCTGGGATCAAGCCCTGCATCGGGCTCTCTGCTCCGTGGGAGGCCTGTTTTTCCCCTCTCCCACTCCCCCTGCTTTTGTTCCCTCTCTTGCTGTGTTTCTTTCTGTCAAATAAAAAAATAAAATCTTTTAAAAAAGAAAACCTACTTCTCTTCCCTACTATTAAATTGTTTTCATCAATTTCCACTAGAATTATAACTTTAGCAACATAATGACATACATCCTGTAAATTTTTTGTAATAATGTTATGTTTATAACGAAAACGCCATTTATTCCTCTACATCCTTAAAGAAGATTAGGGGGTTTATCCAGAATATGTAATTCATTGCAAAATAAAATACACACTTTCTAGATAGCTCAGAATATTTATAGTTGTTAGAGCAAAAACAAATGTTTGGTTACAAATTCTTAATTTGTGGATTGCTTTGACTTTGATGGAAATACCAATTTTCTCTGAAGTATGGTCCCTGGGCCTCAAAATGTTGACCGCAAGAAGCAGCTGCTGTGATTTAGGTCTTGAAGGCGGCTTCCAAGGCTTTAGCTTTTTCTGTGATGTTCTTCTGAAAGGGCATCATGAAGTCTTCAAAGTCCACCTCATAAGTGAACCTCTCTCGCCGCAGCTCCCTTTTTCTGATCAGCTCTGCTGTTGTGGCTTCAGGACTCCAGATCTTAAATAAATCACCATATTCAGAGAAGTCATGAGTAGGAAAGCCAGCAAACACATGGCAGTATGCAGATAATGCCCAGTATGGTTAATTCAAAACTATCAAATTTATTTCTAAATCTATTTTAACTTATGTTTTCCTCTTACATGATGTCAGTGGCTACATGGGCATCACTATTTCTGATGGTGACTATTTGGACAACTGGAATGCTTTTTAGTGACCTCTGATGATCCTCTGTTGTTCATTTTTAAGATGTCAAAAAAGGAAGTGATAGAGTTAGATCATTGGGGTTTGCTACCTTTATGTCTTATGGGGAAGTCCTGAGAAAATTATTTTCATAGTAGAAGGAAGAGGGGGCTGGTGGTCTCTTATTCAGCATGGTTTGATGGGCATTGGCAAGATCGCTCCTGTTTCCCAAAGATGTCTCCACCTCTTTAATTGTGGATGTTTTAGGCAGCTACTAAATAAATCTGGTGTTGCTTAGTATGAAACTCCCAAGTGAAATGGTAGTAAGGGTGCAGAGAGGAAGGTTAGGGTCTGAGAAGCATCAAGAAAATGTATCTATAGCATTTGATGACCAAATGGCTATAGGGAATGGCATTGACCAAAAAATAGTTTTTCAGGGACAATTAAAATGTCAATATAGAAATAGTAGGGGAAACTAGATATTGGAAGCTAAACAAGTTGGACTTAGTCAAAGCAGTAGGACCTGGCAAAAGGACACCTTCAAATTATAACTAGAAAGATAATCTCTGGATATTTGTTTGGGTGCTCTGCATAAAAAGTCTTTAGAAAATGATATTATGAGTTTATAACATGTTATGAAGGTCTTTCCAAAGTACTTACCCTCCGTGGAATAAATGTGATATCCACTTTCTTGGTATAACCACTGGTAATCAATGAATTGAGATAAACCACATTATCCTTACGCATTTTCTTTTCCTCTGATATGGTTGGTATGGTATAAACAGATGAAAGTGGTTCCTGGAAATGAGACAAAAGAAAAACCAACCCTATCAATTGCAAAAACCTATATATACTTTCTAATATTTGCCATTCTTTATCTTACTCTGAAGCCAAGAAAAAATTAAAATTAAAATTAAAATGTTACCATACAAACTATAATTTGAAATGAAATAGAATATTATTATAACTTTGGATGGGGAAAGATAACTAGTTGGCCTTGTTTAGCTCTACTTAATTAGTAGTATCAGAGACAGATCATACAAGTCTTCAAAATATCCTTGACCTATGGCCATTGATTAGAAGAATTAAATTATTCTACTAAAAAGATAATGATGTATGTAGTAGAAGCCTAGCCAACTGATCTTCCTTCACCTCTGGCCCCCCCTTACTCTCATCTTCCATGTTTATTACTCTCTACTGTTTATTGTCCTCCATGGTTGTTACAATCTTTTCACCCTCTCCACTTCTTACCACCTATGTTTCTCCAACCCTTTCCAATTTGATAACATTAGAGCTTTTCCTTTTTGAATTTCACCCTGTCTTATGTCTGCAAAGAATCTCCAGGGATCCTCTTGCTTCCCTAAAGAAGCTTCTAGCCTAGAAATACACTTGGGCTTCCCTGCTAATGACAAAGTCTTGCTCTCTCTGTAATCTGCCTGGGCAAAAACCTCAACCTTTTGCTGGTAGTTTAGAGGCACGCACATTATTCAGGATTACCAGGAACAGTCACTTTGGCACCTTTAAAACTTTCTGGAGTCATTCTGAGGGATATCCAAGTCACAAGTGGCTCGATATCCCCAGGGTTCAGTGGTAGTCATTAAAATTCCTTAGAAGGGGATGGGGGGGTGGAGCAAGATGGCGGAGGAGTAGGAGACCTGGATTTCGTCTCCTCTCAGGAATTCAGCTGGATAGGGATCAAACCATTCTGAACACCTACAAACTCAAGAGGAGATCGAAGAAAAGAATAGCAACAACTCTCTGAACAGAAAAGTGACCACTTTCTGGAAGGTAGGACGTGCGGAGAAGTGAATCCGAGGCGATATTCGGGAGGATAGACGGCGGGGGAGGGGCCTCCGTCGGCCGCTTCTGGCAAGTGATAGAACCACGGAGCACAAAATCGGAACTTTTAGAAGTCTGCTCCGCTGAGGGACGTCATTCTGGTGGCTAAGTGGGGGGTGGAACCCTTGTGGGACAGTGTGGTCTCAGGACCCTCGGGGTCACAGAAAGACTGGGGGTGCCTGAGTGCCGCAGAGCTCCCAGGTATCGGAGCGGGAAGCCAGCTGCAGAGACGGAGGCGAGGCGCGGGCTCTCAGCTCGGGGTCGCCATAAACCGTGATCCAAGGCACAGTCGGGCCACTGCTCCTCCAGCAGGGACCCAACAAGCGGCAGATCGGGGGAGACTCACCTTCTTCCCCAGGAGGAGCGGCGCGGGAGCGCACCGCAGGGATCTGCTGGGTTTGGAGACTCCACACCGAGTCGGGTGCCAGAGATAGAAACGCGCAGTCACAGGCCGGGTGAGCATGGAATGCGGCCGGAGACCAGGGAGAGGGGAGCAACTGACTCCCCACTGAGGAGCGGCCCGAGTTCTCAGCTCCTCCGGGGCGGAGATTGGGAAGCCGCCATTTTCACTCTCCGCCTCCAAAGCAGTACAGAAAGCTTGCAGGGAACAAAAGCTCCCGAGAGCAAACCCGAGCAGATTACTTAGCCCAGACTGGGCAAGGGCGGGGCAATTCCACCTCCGGCAAAGACATTTGGGAACCACAGCAACAGGCCCCTCCCCCAGAAGATCAGCGAGAACAGCCAGCCAAGACCAAGTTTACCGATCAATGAGAACGGCAGAACTCCAGCGCTAGGGGAATAATGCATATAGAATTCATGGCTTCTTTTACCATGATTCTTTAGTCTTTCAAAGTTAATTATTTTTTTTAACTGTCTTTTTTCTTTTTTTTTTTTTGAATTTTTCTTTTTCCCTTTTTCAACCAACATCTTATCAATCCCTTCTTTAAAAAACATTTTTATTTTTCATTTTTAGAGTCATATTCTATCCCTTCATAGTAGTTACCTGTATTTTTGGCATATATATATAAGTTGTTCTCTCTTTAAAATTTTGAGATAGTTTCTTCTAACAGATCAAAATATACTCTAAATCTCCAGTGTATGTTTTTTTTCTACTCCCCTGCCTGATCACATTCTCTCCCTTTTTTTTTAAATCCTCTTCTTTCTTTTTTCAAACAAATTATCAATTCCTTTTATAAATTTTTTTATAATTCCATCTTTACAGTCATATTCCATCCCTTCATCATATCAACCCTTATTTTTGTACATATATAAGTTTTACGTTCTTTAAAATTTTGGGAGGCACGTTCTTCTAACAGACCAAATACACCCAAAATCTAGTGTGTGGCTCTGATCTATATACCAGCCTGATCATATTTGATCACATTCTGATTTTTTTTTGTTTTGTTCTGTTTTTGTTTGTTTTTATCTTTATCTTTTTCTTTTTCTTTTTTTTTCTTTTTTTTCTTTTTCTTTTTTCTCTCTTTCCCTTTCTTTTCCCACTGCTTCAGCTCTTTTCTGATTTGTTTAGAGTATATTTTCTGGGAATGTTGTTACCCTGTTAGCATTTTGTTCTCTCATTCATCTGTTCTCCTCTGGGCAAAATGACAAGACAGAAAAAATCACCTCAACAAAAAGAACAAGAGGTAGTACCGACTGCCAGGGACCTACTCAATACGGACATTAGTACAATGTCAGATCTAGAGTTCAGAATCATCACTTTAAAGATACTAGCTGGGCTTGAAAAAAGCATGGAAGTTATTAGAGAAACCCTTTCTGGAGAAGTAAAAGAACTAAAATCTAACCAAGTCAAAATCAAAAACGCTATTAATGAGGTGCAATCAAATATGGGGGTGCTAACTGCTAGGATAAATGAGGCAGAAGAGAGAATCAGTGATATAGAAGACCAAATGATGGAAAATAAAGAAGCTGAGAAAAAGAGAGATAAACAACTACTGGATCACGAGGGCAGAATTCGAGAGATAAGTAATACCATAAGATGAAACAACATTAGAATAATTGGGATCCCAGAAGAAGAAGAAAGAGAGAGAGGGGCAGAAGGTATAATGGAGCAAATTATAGCAGAGAACTTCCCTAATTTGGGGAAGGAAACAGGCATCAAAATCCAGGAGGCACAGAGAACCCCTCTCAAAATCAGTAAAAATAGGTCAACACCCCGACATCTAATAGTAAAACTTACGAGTCTCATAGACAAAGAGAAAATCCTGAAAGCAGCTCAGGAGAAGAGATCTGTAACCTACAATGGTAGAAACATTAGATTGGCAACAGACCTATCCACAGAGACCTGGCAGGCCAAAAAGGACTGGGAGGATATATTGAGAGCACTAAATGAGAAAAATATGCAGCCAAGAATACTCTATCCAGCTAGGCTGTCATTGAAAATAGAAGGAGAGATAAAAAGCTTCCAGGACAAACAAAAACTAAAGGAATTTGCAAACATGAAACCAGCCCTACAAGAAATCTTGAAAGGGGTCCTCTAAGCAAAGAGAGAGCCTAAAAGCAACATAGACCAGAAAGGAACAGAGACAATATACAGTAAAAGTCACCTTACAGGCAATACAATGGCACTAAATTCCTATCTTTCAATAGTTACCCTGAATGTAAATGGGCTAAATGCCCCAATCAAAAGACACAGGCTATCATTGGATAAAAAAACAAGACCCATCGATATGCTGTCTGCAAGAGACTCATTTTAGAACCAAAGACACCCCCAGCTTGAAAGTGAGGGGGTGGAAAACCATTTACTATGCTAATGGACACCAAAAGAAAGCTGGGGTGGCAATCCTTATATCAGACAAATTAGATTTTAAACCAAAGACTGTAATAAGAGATGAGGAAGGACACTCTATCCTACTTAAAGGGTCTATCCAACAAGAAGATCTAACAATTGTAAATATTTATGCCCCTAACATGGGAGCAGCCAATTATATAAGACAATTAATAACAAAAGCAAAGAAACACATTGACAACAATACAATAATAGTGGGGGACTTTAACACTCCCCTCACTGAAATGGACAGATCATCTAAGCAAAAGATCAACAAGGAAATAAAGACTTTAAATGACACACTGGACCAAATGGACTTCACAGACATATTCAGAACATTCCACCCCAAAGCAACGGAATACACATTCTTCTCTAGTGCCCATGGAACATTCTCCAGAATCGATCATATCCTAGGTCATAAATCAGGTCTCAACCAGTACCAAAAGATTGGGATCATTCCCTGCCTATTTTCAGACCACAATGCTTTGAAACTAGAACTCAATCACAAGAGGAAAGTCAGAAAGAACTCAAATACATGGAGGCTAAAGAGCATCCTACTGAAGAATGAATGGGTCAACCAGGAAATTAAAGAAGAATTTAAAAAATTCATGGAAACCAATGAAAATGAAAACACAACTATTCAAAATCTCTGGGATGCAGCAAAGGCAGTCCTAAGAGGAAAGTATATAGCAATACAAGCCTTTCTCAAGAAACAAGAAAGGTCTCAAGTACACAACCTAACCCTACACCTAAAGGAGCTGGAGAAGGAACAGAAAATAAAGCCTAAACCCAGCAGGAGAAGAGAAATAGTAAAGATCAGAGCAGAAATCAATGAAATAGAAACCAAAAGAACAGTAGAACAGATCAACGAAACAAGGAGCTGGTTCTTTGAAAGAATTAACAAGATTGATAAACCCCTGGACAGACTTATCAAAAAGAAAAGAGAAATGACCCAAATCAACAAAATCATGAATGCAAGAGGAGAGATCACAACCAACACCAAAGAAATACAAACAATTATAAGAACATATTATGAGCAACTCTATGCCAGCAAATTCGATAACCTGGAAGAAATGGATGCATTCCTAGACATGTATCAACTACCAAAACTGAACCAGGAAGAAATAGAAAACCTGAACAGACATATAACCACTAAGGAAATTGAAGCAGTCATCAAAAATCTCCCAACAAACAAAAGCCCAGGGCCAGATGGCTTCCCAGGGGAATTCTACCAAACATTTCAAGAAGAATTAATACCTATTCTTCTGAAACTGTCCCAAAAAATAGAAATGGAAGGAAAACTTCCAAATTCTTTTTATGAGGCCACCATTACCTTGATCCCAAAACCAGAGAAAGACCCCATCAAAAAGGAGAATTACAGACCAATATCCCTGATGAACATGGATGCGGGGTACGTGCACCCCGATGTTTATAGCAGCAATGTCCACCATAGCCAAACTGTGGAAAGAGCCAAGATGTCCATCGACAGATGATTGGATAAAGAAGATGTGCTATATATATATATAATGGAATATTATGCAGCCATCAAAAGGAATGAGATCTTGCCATTTGCAACGACATGGATGGAACTGGAGGGTATTATGCTGAGCGAAATAAGTCAAACAGAGAAAGACATGTATCATATGACCTCACTGATATGAGGAATTCTTGATCTCAGGAAACAAATTGAGGGTTGCTGGAGTGGGGGCTGGGGGGGGAGGGATGGGGTGACTGGGTGATGGACACTGGGGAGGGTATGTGCTCTGGTAAGCGCTGTGAATTGTGCAAGACTGTTGAATCTCAGATCTGTACCTCTGAAACAAATAATGCAATATATGTTAAGAAAGAAAAAAAAGAAGAAGAAGAAGAATGTAGCAGGAGGGGAAGAATGAAGGGGGGGAATCGGAGGGGTAGACAAACCATGAGAGATGATGGACTCTGAAAAACAAACTGAGGGTTCTAGAGGGGAGGGGGGTGGGAGGATGGGTTAGCCTGGTGATGGGTATTGAGGAGGGCACATTCTGCATGGAGCACTGGGTGTTATGCACAAACAATGAATCATGGAACACTACATCTAAAACTAATGATGTAATGTATGGGGATTAACATAACAATAAAAAATTTTAAAAAAATTCCTTAGAAGAGGGATAAGGTGGGTAATGAAAGATTATGAGACCAAAATGAAGGAAAATCATGCTTTGCTTCTTTCTTCTTACCTTCCTTCCCTGTCTGAGCCATCTCATCAAATCTGTATGACTTAGAACCAAATATATACATATCCAATACCAGTTCTTTTTTCAACATTCTAATTGTATTTGGCTGAGTCAACTTGGTTTTTACATGGACTCTATTTGGAATGAGTACTTTTTAGAATTTTCAGTAATAGGAATTTCTTTGCTAGGTATTTTTTTTCAATGCTGCATAATAGTGCTGAAAATATGGCTTGCATATTATTTCGCCCATGCTGTGTAACAATGTGTAAATACTGACACTCTCCTACCCCTCGCAAGCTTTTACCAGTTACTAATGGGTAGTCGATCACTTTTCTTACCTCTTCTTTCTTAACTTCAGGGCCTTCAGTCTTCACTTTAGGAGGTGGCTTGCCTTTCAGTTTTTGATTTTCTGTTGGTTTTGGCAAGTTATCCAGCTTCTCTTGAATCAAACTAACTATTCTATAGTCAGCATATGCCTTTGCAACATCCATGGGAGTATGTCCTGCTCAAGACATAAATTCAGAGTTGCAATAAACAGACTGATAATAAACCATGCCGAAAAACCTCAGCGCATCAGCCTCGGCATGTGGCAGTAAGGGTGATTACTACAGCCAATGGTTATGTGCAAGGTCACCAAGCTAGATCAGCTACTCTCTAAGGCGGACCCAGCTCTGAAATCTCATAGTTTAAAGTGCCATTTACTAACAACACAACGTTTTCTTGTTAATTTTTTTGAGCATGTTTCTTAAAAAAATGGATAAGAAATATTGGTAGAATATTTACATTTGGATATTTGATTGATGGTTCTCTTCCCACCTTACACACATTTCCTTTTGTGTGACAATTTTACACCATCCTCCCCTTTCCCTGATACAAGGATGTATATTCAAAAAGGCCTGGGGAAGCTGGTAGTCACAGTGCTCTATACAGATGGCTGGGTATTATGACAACTGTAATATCCTCAGGCAGGCCTGAAACAATACTACCAGTGACCCAGGGGAAGCTCAAAGCAGCCAGAAAAGTTAATGCTCTCTCCGATCAAAAGGAAGCAATGGGTTCCACTGTAAGAAAATGACACCTCCAAGCAATGAGGTCAAACATTTATTCAAATGCTTATTTTTCAGGTTGTATATTTATGACATAAGATGGGCCCCTCCTATTTACTTCCCAGGGAGAGCCTCAAACTCAGGAATTGTGTTGTTCAGCTTTAGAAATAATCCAAATTCTACAGTCTTTAAAATTATGCCACTTCCTAGGGACTTGGTAGTTATGACAGTGTGATAACCCAAGGTATAGTCTGAAAACCGGTATAAGCCCACAAACCAATGCTTCCTGGGCCACAGTGAAATAAGTAAGAAATTAAGAGTGGGCATTTAGAAATTTTTGGATGGATTTGATAGAATTTTCCATCACTTTAATCTAGTGATTAAAAAAACCTTACATTTTATTTCCCCACTTCATTTTCTAGTAAATCACTTTTTACTGTACTTTACAAAAGTATCCATCCATGACAGACTGCAAACATCAAGAACCGGTCCTTTCACACCAGTGACTTGAGAGGAACTGTGTATGAAACCAACTTCCAGAACATTCAACTTAGGCTTGTGGTTGCAGTAGCGACTTGTGGGGAAATGCGATCTTACAAGAAGAGAACCAGAAGGGGTTTGGAATCTAACGTAAATTCTCCTCTTCTGACCCGAACCACCACTCATGCACCCACGCACCTTTTCTATTTTCCAGCTGGAATTTAGCGCCGATATCAAGAAGGTACTTTACGGTATCCAGTCTACAGCTCTCGATGGCTCTAGTCAAAGGGGTGGAGTTGTTGATTGAGACCGCATCTATCACTGCTCCAGCTTTAACAAGAAGCTCAACGATGTCTTGTTGGCCTGCATGGCATGCAAAATGAAGTGGGGTCCACAGGAAATTATCTCTTGCATTAACGTTAGCCCTAAAAAATAAGATAGATGCACAAGCTAAAAATGTTGCTTGTTCCAAACACCAGAAGCTGGAAATGCAAAGCAAGATTTCCTATTAGTGTTATCAAGTTGTTCAACTGTAAACCAGGGAAGCTCTAAATAAAGTTAAACTCTGTGCCATAATTTTTCTTGACTCGTGCTCCGCATTATCCGACAGTCTTAATTTGCTTTGCATGCATATATATATATGTACATATATATATATACATACACATTTTGTTTAGTTTTAAAAGGCACTTAGTTAGATCCCAGGGGTTACACTTTTTTGCAAAGATTAAAATTAAGGAAAATTATGGGGCTCCTGGGTGGCTCAGTTGGTTAAGCAACTGCCTTCGGCTCAGGCCATGATCCTGGAGTCCCGGGATCGAGTCCCGCATCGGGCTCCTTGCTCAGCAGGGAGTCTGCTTCTCCCTCTGACATTCCCCCCTCTCATGCTCTCTCTCTATCTCATTCTCTCTCAAATAAATAAATAAAATCTTAAAAAAAATTAAGGAAAATTATATAACTGGATCTAGTGAAGGTAAAAGCTGATAGGAAATTAAAAAGTCCTATTATTTCATTCTGTGTCTACTTTCTCTGCATGTCATAGATTTTTAAATGCACCTCCATTATTAAAATTCTAAGCATGAAAATGTATTATTTTAAATGTTAGTCCTTTTTAAAAATTCACTGTCCAAAAGTTCAAATTCTCATTAATTACTTTATACCCCCTCTTGATAATATACAAATCTGAATGCTTCTTTGACCTTGACCGTTACAGTAATAACAATAATACCCTTTTATCAAATATGCAATTACTTTGCTTTACATATTTTAACTCATTTAATCTTCAAAAAATCTGCAAGCTGAATCCTAGTAGAGCCCCATTATAAAAATGAAAAATGTGACGGGGCACCTGGGTGGCTCAGTTGGTTGGGCGACTGCCTTCGGCTCAGGTCATGATCCTGGAGTCCCTGGATCAAGTCCCGCATTGGGCTCTCTGCTCGGCAGGGAGCCTGCTTCTCCCTCTGACCCTCCCCCCTCTCATGTGCTCTCTCTCTCTCATTCTCTCTGTCTCAAATAAATAAATAAAATCTTTAAAAAAAAATGTGAGACACAAAAAAGAAACTTATGCCAGGTTATTCAGCTATGGTAAGAGAAGGAATTAAACCTGAGTAGTTGCTTTAGAAGTTCAGTAAAAATGTCATGCTTGGATATTTTAAAGATATTTACAAATGAACCAAGGAAAAGACTGCTGCTTCTCGAGGAGGGAATGAGACATGCCCTAAGTCATCATGATCACTGTCCCACTTGTTTGAATTTGCTAGGATCCCCACACATAGGAGACAGATTAAAAAGCCATGCGGAAAATGAATAAGTTCTAGAGATCTATGCAATTCTGTGATTATAGTTAATATTGTACTGTACGCTTATAACCTGTTAAGAGGATAGATCATGTTATCTGTCCCTACCACAATAAAAAGAAATTCTTTCACTGGGCTCCCTGCTCAGCAGGGCATCTGCTTTTCCCTTTACCCTTCCCCCCCTCCTCATGAACTCTCTCTCTCTCTCTCTCTCTCTCTCTCTTTCTCAAATAAATAAATAAAATCTTAAAAAATAGTTTAAAAAATTCTTTCGGGGGGCACCTGGGTGGCTCAGTTGGTTGAGCAACTGCCTTCGGCTCAGGTCATGATCCTGGAGTCCCGCATTGGGCTCCCTGCTCGGCAGGGAGTCTGCTTTGCCCTCCGACCCTATCCCCTCTCATGTGTTCTCTCTCCTTCTCTCTCTCTCAAATAAATAAATAAAATCTAAAAAAAAAAAAAATTCTTTCGGTAATTTAAAATAAAATAAAAAGTGACTCCACACCATGTAGATAAATTCCTAGGCAAAGCAACTTCATGCATAGTTACTGGCAAACCATCTCTGGGTACACACATTCCCAGCTTCCCATTAGCCCACTTTCCCATACAAGATCTATCTGTAATCTCGACGTCAGGAATGAAGCACTTTCTCTGTCCTAAAATTCTGGAGTTGAATGTGAATTCAACCAAGAAGACACACCCTTTTTCAAGAAGAAACTTGACGGCATCTATGTTTCCCGTGGCACACGCAGTCATTAGCGGTGTTTTGTAGTAATTATCCTTCATATCCACAGGTATTCCTGATTCAAACGCCTTTTTCAGAGAGGCCAGGTCTCCTGCCTTGGTGATGAAGTTGATATTTGAAAATACCTTCGGTGGATCATCGATGTACCAGGCAGAGTCATCCCGGACGGGATGTTCGGGCGGCCCGTCTCGGTTAAACCGAGCGCTATCTGTTACATTCTCGTAGGTTTCAATCATGTAATAGGGCGGCCCGCCGTCACCCCGGCGGGGAAATACATGGTCAGGGATGATGCAGATTGGTAGGGGCAAGACGAACTTGCCTTTCTTTGGCGTTTTGGCCATCCCTTTCTTCTTCTTCTTAGGCCCATAGGATCCCAAGACGTAAGACTTACTCAGGTACCTGGTTCCTTTGAAGAAATCATTAATGTTGACCCCAGCTCCCCGCAATTTCTCATGATACTGAGCTATCACAGCCAGCTGTTCTGGGGTCGCGTATTCTTGCCTCTCCTCCAGCGTCAACACGAAGTCCTCCTTGCTGACCGTCCCATCGCCTCTGTCCACAAACGACAAGGCTTCCCGAAGGAAAGTCTCGTGTTCTAGCGACCAGTCGTGAAGTCTCAGGGCCCAGAGTGGATTTGGATCTTTGGCTCCCGGCCGCGCCAGCTTGTTAGCGGTGCGCTCCGCCCGCCCTATTTCTTTGCTTGCTGCTTTGAAGCCACCTTCCTTGGCCACAGTCCTGGCTGTTTTATGGTCTAAGTTCTTCCATTTCAGGTCACATCCTAAAACATGAAGCATCACTATCATGAATAGGGCCTAGGCCCTTGCATGACTCTGCAAATGACATTCCTGCAACCATTTTCGTAAGCTTGAACTACGGGCCAAAAGTTTATCCCTAAATTATTTGTATAGAGCAATGAACCCATTTAGCTATTATAATTACAAAATTAAACTGTGAATTTTTTTTTTTTTCCTGTGAGCTTCACTTTGGTGAATTCTGAGGGGAATCTGTTTCCAGTTTATATTCTCTGCCCCTAAAGGATTGGGACATGCATCCCTGTAGATACTTGAAACAGATTTCATATTGGGATACTTGCTAAGGAGACTTCCTGCCAAACAGGAAAAGAATAAGGGTGGCATTTGAATTTGGAAAGAAGCTGGGTTCAGACAGCTTACAAGGCCCTTAGGAACTCAGAATGCTGTACACCTGCTTCTTTTTGAATGATTATGACTGCAAATCTGTGTACCATCTTAAACTATATTTATCTGTATTCTCCACGAATTCAATGTAATTTACATCGACCTGCTGTTTTGTGATTGCTCATGTGAACAACCCCATACAGGACAAAGTCATTCATTCATTAAATCTGAAAGGACTCTAGTATTACGTTTGTGCAAAGTAGGCATTAAAATCCATTTTCCTTCTTGGACCCTTCCTTAAAATGATGACACCAACATTATATGTAAGTATTCCTCAAATAAATAAATTTCTCTAAGTGCACTGGGGAGTCTACTTAGTGCCACTAGGAAGGCTGTGCTGTCCGTAAGTGTCTTAAGATATTAAAAATCCATTATGTATATAAATAAGTCAGACTATGAAGAAGCTCTTTCTAGTGTTTTGAATCTAGAAGAAGGCTCTTCTGTGTCTTTGCCAATATCACATAATCAGAAAGATTGCTACTCAATCAGTATGTCCAGCAACCAAATATGAATGCAGCTGCATGCAAAAATAAAACATGCCCCTCCAATACTTTATAGTTTTATTCCTTGTCAAAAAGAAAATGAGTCACCAGTGCTTTTTAAGATTAATACTTCCTTTGGCATTGTCAAAACTTAAAACTTTATATTAAGACTGACAATTTTACTAGTGGTAGAAGAACTCAAAAAGAGTCTCATGACAATGAGGATTCTAAAATGTCCATATTGAACAGTTTTAAGAACAGTGACTTATTGAAAAGGGGACCTGAGACTGATCTTGATAGCATAATTCCATAGCAATTTCGAGAATGCTGTCTTTACTTAGCTTTTTTGCTTATTCAAGGTGTCTGGGTGTTTATCTACCATCTCCCAAGCCACTCCTATATTCACCCCTAAGGATCAGAGGACTTTAAAGGTGTTTTATCTTGCCTCCTTCTGCTCCCAGTTTCCTCCTAGTTAGAAACCTTTATGTGGATAAAAGACTCCAACATCCCAGCTTAAAGATCTGAAGGCCCTTTTCTTCTCCTTTTGCCTTGGGATTTTTTGTCTCCTCCTCTATAATTAGTAAAAATAAAGATCCATTCATTCCCTTTGTGATGTATGATCTGCGGTCAAACGTACTCAGCTTACAGCTGGTGTGTGCTGCAGAGCACCAGCCAAAGGCCCAAGAGAAAGAGAAGCCTCATGGGGTGCTTCCCCAGAAGTGCTCCAAACTCCTAGCTTCTGCCCTTGGATACAGCACTCGCACTGCTTACGGGGACTTGTAAATTGTTCCAGCAGCAGGACCAGGGGCAAAGGAGGAGAACACTGAAGAAGATAGTTTAATGTGGCAAAAGAATTCAGCCTTCACATTTAAGTATAGAAGACACTGAATCCAGGGAGTTTGCTCAGAAATGAGCATTTCATGGCTAATGCATTGTTTGTTGGGGCTCTGATTGCCTTAGCTGGACATGTAACTGATCACACTTCTGCTATGGAACTGGGTCCCCCACCTTGATCCAGTGAAGTGGTTGTTACTTCCAAACATGCTACAGAACTTAGAATGCTTTCAGGCCCTTGTTTTAGAAACACGGTGTAGTCTCATGACTCTGCCAGGAAGATAATACTTTTCTGCATCATTGGGAAAGCCTTTGGCATGGCCCAAGCTCTGACTAAATGTGTTTCTCAATTTGCTTTTTGTGACTTTCTCCCAGGAGTACATAAATAACAGAGTAGATGTCTGGTGATGTTTGTCCCTATAATGAAGTGGTCAACATGTTAAAGTTGAAGAAGCTTGTCTTAATCTGGACAGATCTTTAGTTCTTAGAAATATACAGTGTTAAAAATGTCAGAATAAATTGCTGATAGTGACAGATTTGAAAACAAGACTGATGAGACAGTTTATGGGGGCAAAAGTTGCATTTGATATATTTTCCTTTATTTGTTAAAAGTGTTTATTATTTGGGGGGCTGGGGGGAGAGTACGAGCTTGTATAAGTTCATAAAAAGTAGAAGTGAATCAGTTATTACACTCTTAGTTATACAGGCACATTAGTCTTATTTATATTAGTGGTTACAATACAGGATCTCTAAGCCCCAGGGACTTCTAAAATTCTCTGCTCTATTCTAGAATTGTAGAATAATAGACTCTAAGTTTTTGCCTATTTCTCAAACTGGAAAAAAAAGAAAAAAAACACTACCATAAAGTTCAGCAGAATGCAGTTCCACTCCTAACGAAGAGTTAGAAACTTTTTTTAAATAAAGATTTTATTTATTTGTGAGAGAAAGAGACAGAGCACAAGGGGGGTGTGGAGAGGCAGAGAGAGAAGCAGACTCCCCCTTGAGCAGGGAGCCCAACACGGGCTCAATCCCAGAACCCCGAGATAATGACCTGAGGCAAAAACAGATGTTTAACCAACTGAGCCACCCAGGCGCCCTGAGTTAAAAACTTTCAATGTACATCCAGTCAGCATGTAATTAACACCAATTTGATCCACAAACTTAATTAGCTAATATTACCACTTTAAGGAATACATTAAGCTATACATACATATTTCATATTCCTAAATTAATAGTTACATAGAAGCTTCAGGAAAATCTAAAATATCACTTACCTTTCAAATTTTCCATGAAAATTTTCATTTTATTTCATATTTCTCCCTAAAACATTTCTCCCATAATTTCAAATTATTTAGAAAAGTTTATCCTTTGCACTTGATACAATTGAACATTTTTTAATAAAATAGTTAAAATTTCAGACTAAAAGACATAGTTTTCAATATTCGTCCTTCAGATTGATGTCAACATTTTTTTAAAAAGGAGTTTAATAACTATAAGCGTTTTAATAATTAGTTGACCCATGAACAATCCTGTTTAGATTTTTAACAATAACCTAAAAATATTTGAGAATGTGGGTTTTCATCACTTTAAGACAAGATTCATGATTTGACAGAAGGTAGAGTAAGAAAAGATTCTCAATTTTCTTTCTACGTATATAACTGATGCTCGGCTATTGAAAAAGATAAGCAACTGACAAGTGACAGGCCCAGATTCTCTGCTCATCTACAACATGGGTAAATCATAAATACTTTAAGCATAAAATTGCTAGGCAATTTTACCTCGTTGAGCTATATATTTACAGCAATCTGCAAAACCACCCATGGCAGCATAATGAAGTGGTGTGTTCCCATTCATTGATATCAGCCCCATGTCTCCATTGTAAGCAAAAAGAAGCTTCAATATCTGCAAAAAAAATTGTAGATATTGTAGAGGAATAGCAATGTACATTCATTGAATGAAGACTGGCACCTAAACGTGTTCTCCAATAGTTACTTAGGCTACATGTGGCTATTTAAAATTAAATTGAATTAAATAGAAAACAATTTTTAAAAATCCAGTTCCTTAGTTTCACTAGCCATATTTGAAATACTCAAAAGCCACATGTGACTTCTATATTACACAGCACAGATTTATAACTTTTCCACATTGCCAAAAGTTCTATCAAATAGCGTTGATCTAGAGGTTAGAAAATTCTATATTCAGCTGGGGCATGCCATCTTAGTGAATTCTAGTAATTCTAGAAAACATCAGCCTATGGGAAATATCATCAGGGAAGCAAATTCTTAACCACATGTGACTTCTATTGTGCTGTAGATTTTTATTGCAGGGGGAGAGACCGAATGACAAAAACAAAGATAATTGTTAAAACTCAGAAAATTGAGTAAAGAAATTTTAGATGTAATTGAGAATTAAGAAAAAAAAAAAAGGAGAGCATTGGTTCCTATTTCGTTTCTGCAACGTCACTGTACCTATGAGATATCCTTTGCTGGTATATCCAGATAACCAGAATACTGAAGAGTTTAAAATGGAGGTGAGTCATTAGATGCACACAAAAAATCAGGGAGATAAAGGGGCACCTGGGTGGCTCAGTCGGTTAAGTGTCTGCCTTTGGCTCAGGTCATGATCCCAGGGTGCTGAGATCGAGCCCTGCGTCAGGGTCCCTGCTCAGCGGGAAGCCTGCTTCTCCCTCCCCCACTCCCCCTGCTTGTCTTCCCTCTCCCGCTGTGTCTCTCTCTGCCAAATAAACAAATAAAATCTTAAAAAAAAAAATCAGGGAGATAAGAGTATGTTGACATTGTTCTCTCTACAACTGGGCCATGCCGGACATATTATGAAGAGTCTAATATGTAATAGAGGCATAAAATAAAGTAGTCTTGGTTGGCAAAACTTTTAAATTGCCATAGTTAAGAATACAGAAAAACATGGTTAGTAATATTAAATGCATAAACTTGGCAAGCCAATAAAACTGAATAAAGAGCTAGACAAAGTTAAAAATATAATATTTGATATTTGATATAAAATATAATTTTAGAATTATTTAGGGAAATCAAGATGGTAATGTGGAAAAAATTCTTAGTGTAACCTATATGATATTTAAAAATTTGAGGAAAAGGTAAGAAATGGTGAGCAACAAATTTTAAAGCAAAGGGCAGATTCTTACATCAAAAAAGCCTCCTTTGGCAGCAAAATGTGCAGCTTGTTTTCTCTCATTGTCAAAGGCATTCACTTCACCTCCTCTTTCCAATATCCCTCGAACTAATTCTATCATTCCTTCTCTTGATGCTTCCATTAAAGCCGTTCGACCTGTGGACTGGACAAGAAGCACATCAAATTCTGGTTATACTTGTCATCTTAAATAACACATTTGGTATACATATGTTCTCAATCCATTTGGCCTTAGATTCACACTGGCAGGTTTAATTCTCTACATCTTTATTAGTTCCACAAAGCAAATAGGAAAAATGAAGTCAGTGCAGTGGGTCAATGTAGAGAGTTCCAATATCAGAGTCAGGGTCACACCAGATGTCCCTGTGAAAAAATCATGCTAAAGATGCATTTTTTTTTTTTTGCAAAGAAAGTAGAGCAAAAGGGGAGAAAAGAGGATAAAATATATGCTAAAATTAGGTTTTAAGTGTTTTCTAATGAGAAAAAATCTATTATTATTGTCTTGAAATGCCTCTTAAACAATTAGAAAACTCAATAAAATTGGCCAAATGAGGACAGGGAGCAAAATGAATGAGGGAAATAGCACAACTACATATTTTCTTTCCAAAAAGATAAATTTTTATTAGACATCGGTGATATCTTTTCTATTTTCTCTAATGATGTTTTACCTTTATGCATAATAAATACCAATTTTCCAAAGGTAATTAGGAAATAAACTGTAAAATCATAGCAATATAAAGATAATGAGAGTATATCATCTTAATGCATTTTGAATAGAAATGAAAGTCTATAAGCTGACAGGATAATTTTACCATATTTAAATGCACTACTAAGACTCTATAATTGAAAAAAAAAAAGGAATATTTATAATCACAGGAATAGTCATACTGAGTTGATAGCATTTGGATTGGCTCCTTTTTCCAAAAATGTCAGGCACGTGTCTTTAACATTATGTGCTTCTTCACAAGCTCTAAGAAATATTGGTTTTCCTTCATAGGTAGAGTTGTTGACATCTGCGCCATGTTCCAGGGCAATCAATGCACAGCGATAATGCCGCTTAGTAGGTAAAATGCAGTAAAACAAAATACCTGTAGAAAAATAGAATCCCCAAATAGTACTTCATTAATAGTCTCTCTATATTTGAACCAGATAGCAAAGAAAAACTAATAATTTTGAAATCCATAATTGGCTAGTTGAAGGTGGCAAAGCAGAGGCGTAGCTGCCTTGCTTTTCCTTCTGAAACCGACTGAAACACCAAGACAGAGGAAGAAAGAGAGTCAACCTCTGATACAATTAGAAAACAGTCACAACCAAATGTGATAGGACCTGGTTCAGGGAAGAATCTGAGTGCTGATATGTGAGGCCCTGTCAACCTTGGGTATTTGGCATCTTGCAGTCCACGTGCAGGACTGTGTGTGCTGGAGGGCTAGTGATGGTTTGCTGTGTCCCATCTGAAGCTGCAGAGCCACAAAGCAGATGGTACTAAATGATGAAATGTGCAGACTGGCCATGTTTATAAGAAGAAGGCTGTCGGTACAGCAGCATTAAGAAGAAAACGTTGTGGGCTCCTGGGTGGCTCAGTTGGTTAAGCGACTGCCTTCGGCTCAGGTCATGATCCTGGAGTCCCAGGATCGAGTCCCGCATCGGGCTCCCTGCTGTTAGCAGGGAGTCTGCTTCTCCCTCTGACCCTCCCCCCTCATGCTCTCTCTCTCTCATTCTCTCTCTCAAATAAATAAATAAAATCTTTAAAAAAAAAAAAAAGAAGAAAACGTTGATGACAAGGGGCTCTGCCATTTTGGCAACTCGTTTTGTTCCAATGAAGAGAGGAAAATGCGAAATCTCCCTACCTATAACCTCTGACGTACAGGCCCTCCACATAATCCATGTCAAAAATGTACTACAAGTCAGGGGTATTGTTGTAATCTGGGCAAACAACAGTCAAACTCCAAACTGACTTTGTAATGACCTCACTCTAAACAGAGGCTTCATTCAAAGAGGAACAGTGTTTCATCTGTATGAAAAATACAGATACCGAAAGGAAGAAATCTGATAATAAAAGCTAGGTTAAAAGTACATGCTGGAAAAACTATACTGTGTGAGAATTATTGACTGTCCTATTTCTATGATAGCAAAGAAGTTAAACATAACTTTTTTCCAAAACAAAAGTGCAAAGATGGACCAAGACTAAATGCAGGGCTTCTAGGACAATAGATTATAAAAGAAGGAAAAGATGAAGTTAAGCCAGCTGAGCTTAGGAAGAAATGGTAAAGGAAAATAAAACCACCAAAGAAAGGAAAGTCAAACCGGAGTCAGGAAAAAGGAGAGTGCAAAAACCATGGTCATGGAAGTGAAGAAAAAACTTGAAAGAACTAAGGAAAATGTAACAGATGGTGGAAGAGCTGAAATGGTCTAGAGAGGCAAAGAAGAGTTAACATATATGTAATTGGTGCTCAACAATAAAAAACCAAGTAGAACAGAAAAAATAAGGAGATACAACAGAAGAAAACTTTCTTGAAGTGAAAAGCTGAATTTGAAAAGATTAAAAAAGCATACTGGGAGGGGTGCCTGGGTGGCTCAGTCATTAAGTGTCTGCCTTCGGCTCAGGCCATGATCTCAGGGTCCTGGGATCGAGCCCCACTTTGGGCTCCTTGCTCCACAGGAAGCCTGCTTCTCCCTCTCCCACTCCCCCTGCTTGTGTTCCCTCTCTCGCTGTGTTTCTGTCAAATAAATAAATAAAATCTTAAAAAAAAAAAAAAAGAAAAAAAGCATACTGGGGTCTCAGGAAAAATGGACTAAGAACAATCAATGAGGTGTGCCTAGGTAAAGCTAGGTAGAGGACATGTCCTGTGAGCCTCTGGGTAACAATTCAAGTCCTCTATAAAGAGGAAAGTCAAGGGGCACCTGGGTGGCTCAGTCAGTTAAGCATCTGCCTTCGGCTCAGGTCATGGTCCCAGGGTCCTAGAATTGAGCCCTGCATCAGACTCCCTGCTCAGCGGGGAGTCTGCTTCTCCCTCTCCCACTCCCCTTGCTTGTGTTCCCTCTCTCTCGCTGTGTCTCTCTCTGTTAAAAAAATAAATAAAATCTTTAAAAAAAAAAAAAAAAGAGGAAAGTCAAGCTGGCCTCCAGATTTTGCCACAGCAACATTCAATGCTAGAAAATAATGAAAGGATCTCTACAATATCACTTGAGAAAGAAAATGGGAGGTTTTTTTGTACCTACCGAGCTGGCTGTTCATATATAAAAGCAGTAGACATATAAGTTTAAGGATGCAAAAGTTATTGTACTAATCTCTTCTTTCATAGCAAAATATTAATGAATATCATGTAAAGTGCTAATTCAACAAAGTTTTATGTATATGAAAAGCTATTAAATTTGCCATTAAAACAATCAAAAACATTTCTCTTCCCAAGGGGAAAAAAAATCTATATATGGTGGTGGGTGTTAACTAGACTTATTGTGGTGATCATTTTGCAATGCATACAAATATCAAATTATGTGTACACCTGAAACTGATATAATGTTGATGTCAATTATACCTCAATTTTTAAAAGTCAATCAGTAAATAATAAAAGTAAATAAAACTACCGTTCCAACAACCAAAAAAAAGATCTAAAAGCAGACCATTAACCTTAGAAAATATAACACACACACACCAAAAAAAGAACATATGGACCATATAGGAAAATATTTTTATATGTATTTATATATATATATATATATATATATAAAATATATTATATTCTCATAACATAAAATAAATGACAGCCCTGAGGCCAAATCTTTGGGCCATCTAGATAAATATAGGTTGGATAAATTCTACCATTAAAATAAAAACCACAATTTATATAAAATCAAAATCTAAATATATTTCATATAAACAGATGCATCTAAAATAGGGTTACTCAGAACAGTTAAAAACAGAAAGATGGCCAAGGACATGGTTGAAAATAGAAAACCAAAGACACAACAAGTGATAGCAGGCAAAATTGGGCCAAAACAATAACAAACAACAATGTCACCTAGAGAATACCAGATGAGGCTGAATTCATTACAAAAGGCCCTAAGGTACTTAGGAAATGGATACTTTATAATGATGGCAGGTGCAACTCACAGTTAAAGTCTATCTGGGTTGACTCTTTAAGCCACAATGAACATGAGTCAACATTCTAAAACTGAAGCAAAAAAAAAGAGGGCAAAGATGATAGACTGTAGAATTCTCATACTACATTTATGGGACTGGGTATGCATTCCTATAAATGGGAGAACCGATGAATGGGTGCTATTAGGAGCTAGTCTAGCTTAACCCTTGAAGAGAACAGACACCATTCTATACTCCAGACTGGACAGACACTAATTAATCCCCTAGGACAACATATAGGAAAGAAATTCTTGGCTTAGAGATTTACCTTTTCCATGTTCTGCAAAATTTTTCAAAGTACAGTTTAACCTAGAGTATGTCCCACATCCTTCTAAAGATCCAGTAAGTGTTTTAACCATTTATTTATTTATTTATTTTTAAAGATTTTATTTATTTATTTGAGAGAGAGAGAATGAGACAGAGAGAGCACATGAGAGGGCGGAGGGTCAGAGGGAGAAGCAGACTCCCTGCCCGAGCAGGGAGCCCGATGCGGGACTCGATCCAGGGACTCCAGGATCATGACCTGAGCCGAAGGCAGTCGCCCAACCAACTGAGCCACCCAGGCGCCCAGTGTTTTAGCCATTTAAATGTTGGCTTGTCCTTTAGGACCAATGTGCAGTGAATGAAACACCAATCGCTGGAGAATAGGATGTCAATGGCAGAGACTTCTGTGGAATAAGCAAAGCAGTTGGGCAAGTGGCCGCCAAACTGAGAGCTGTGCAAGGTGAGCTAGATTCGTTGACGTGGGGAAGACAGGGCTCGCAGTGCAATAAGCACACCACGGGTTAGACAGAATCAAGTCTCTATGGGGCCGGACTAACAAGGTCATGCGTGCAATAAGATTTGTATTTGTTCCAAGTTTTTTATTTTTATTTCTTCCTATGTGATTGGTCAGATTGTTTTCTCATACATTCATCTCCCAGAACCTTGACAGGTTTAATATTAATTTCAATGAACTTAGATATTAACCAGATGGCTGTTGCATTTGCTACTAATATTCACGAGATCCTGTTTCTAATTTTACTTTACTTTCAATTTTACAATTTTAGATTTTTATTATAAAATTTCTCAACCTTTTTTTTTAAGCTTATATTTCTGTTTCAAATTCTAGAAGGTAAACTATTCTCCATTACAGTGTTTCCCCAAAGTATATTTCACAAAACTCCTGGTATATAAAATGTCACAAGGAAAAACTATTTCAAGGGTCAAAGACAAATGGAAAATGTCACTGTCATTAGTCTGTCTGACAAATGTGAAATCAACATGTCTCAATTTGTTTTATCCAATGTTTCTCTAACGAGTTTGGCAGTGGAAACAATTTTGCATGTAATGCTTATCAACATCCTAGAGATTCAGTGGTCCATGGAACACACTTTGGGAAATGATATTTTATAGAGCTTTAAGAGGCTTTTATTCTTTTTCTTTTTCAGGATTTAACATTTTAAAACACATTTGATCCCTGAATGTATCTGAAGTTCATTTCATTATGTGGTACTATTAAGTAATTGAATGATTGTTTCTTTCCTTGTCCTCTCCTATTGTTTTAAGAAAGTCATTTATCAAATACCAAGTCTGGAGAGAATTATAAAAGCAGATTTTGTTCCTGTCAGAAAACATTAACACCAAAAAATGGGATTTATTTCTCCAGTGTGGGACTGATGTTAATGGCTTTGTACTTGAAGCAACTCCTTGGGACAACTGATTCAATCTACCAATTTATATTAAGCCTGGTGGTAATTTTCTTGGTGATTTTCATGGGGCTGTGTCAAGTCCTTCTGAAACCTTGAGTTATTTGGGCAAGAAGCTCCCAGACAAGGTGTTGAGATGAGATTAGGGAGGACAGAGTGGAGAAGTAGGGCTGTCTCACCTGAAAAAGCATGGAAATGCCATGTCTCAAGGTTCAAGTCAGGTTTCCAAATACATTTAAACTGACCCTCAAGAATTGGATTTTATGCCAGAATCCACCTTAGCCCTTCCAGTTCCCAACTGCAACCCCTTTCTACATCAGGCTGCTACTGAGAGGCAATACAATCCTTTTGGAGTCCAAGTTGAGTACTCTTTGAGGTTCTAAAGTATAAAAAAGATTAAGAAATTCTCTCCCTCATTTTTTGTTCTAAACAAGATTTTTGTATTTTATAATCGATGATTCTGCCTATAGTATTATCAGTGTGTATCATTAAAAATTCTCTACATTTAGAAAAAACACCAAACACAAATTAATCTAACTCTAATTTTTTTAAGGGAGACATCTCTCACAGCTCGTTTCCCTAAGATATACCTTAATACCATTTTCAAATTATAGGGAGATGGTGTCCTTAGGTACAGGAGTGAGAACCTGGCTTTTCACTTGAACTCATGAGTAATTCACTTCTACAGTCGGAAAGCAAAAAAGTCCACTTTCTGGATTTCTGGCTACAGAGTGGATTGTAGCTACTGGATAAAATGTTGGGATTTTTACCTTTTCCTTCATTATCAACTATAGTCATGTCAGCCTTTGCCTTGGCTAATATTTCCATGGACAATTCATGCCCCAGCTCTGCAGCCCTCATTGTCGGAGTACAACCCATCTTGTCTTGCACATCAGGGTGAGCACCAAGGCTAAGGAGAAAGCTGACCATATCGACGTCATTGGAAACCGAGGCCAAGTGCAGAGCACTGTGTCCATTGAGGGGGTCTGTGAAATTGATTAGTTCAGGGTATCCAAGCCTGATCAGCTTTTCTATCTGCTTCGTGTCTTTGTTCCGAACACACTGAAGAACTTTGTAGATCTGCAAGTTCTCAAGTCTCTTATCGGCTAAAGCCATATTCGACCACCTTCTTGAAAATGCTTTTCTGGACCAAAACAAAAACTATAGCAGCAAAAAAACAAAAACAGAAACACACAACTCCAAGTTAATTTTGTCATCTTTAATTTGGTATAAATAATAATATTTTAAGTCTTCCCTAAGAAGAGAGGCTGTTTCTCACGAAATGTTATTACCACAATTTATTGCAACTGATTTCACAAAAAGTATAAATTATACATAAATAGAGAATATTCAGCTAGCATAAAACTAAAATATTTTGAAACAAATGTTTCATCATAATTAATATCAGCCTTGCTAATGCAGCTTTCTTGTTAATTTAATTTCTTGTTTCATTTAACCCTCCTTCCTTGACAGCCTCCCTATTCTATCCATGAAGAAGGTAAGGCTAACAGAAGTGCCAATGTGAGGATTTGAGTTCCCCACTCTATGGCTCTGTACCAGCATGTCCTTCTAACCTAGAGACCATACAGGTTTTGGTAGTTAACAAATGTTATAAAGAAGCTGTGGAATTTTAGGTGCTCATTATAAGCAGGAATCTACTGGGCTCAGTGGGATACTAAATGTGATGGATGATTCATGTCACCTTACATGGGAATGATGTAGGCAAATGGTTGAGAGACAACTATAATTTTCATAAATAATTCCACTGTTAAATTGTGATGAGCATTCTGATACGTAATTTTATCTCTTCTTTACTGTTTATGGGAAAACAATCTTTTGAATTGAGTCATAGGTCATGCTAGGTATACCCAGCTTGCTTTTCTTTCCTCACTTTTTCTGGGAAAAGAACACCATTATCATATTGGGGATCCATTCCAGATCATCCAGTCTTGCTATCCTAGGCCAAATCATTGCCACAGACTTCTAATTTGTCTCACTGCTCCCACAACGGACCCCTAAGGGTATATTCTCTGTTCAGTCCTCAGAAAATAATTTTAAAAATGTAGATCAGATAAGGTCAAGCAAGCTTCCAGCCCAAAATTTTTGGATGGGGCTGCCCCTTCTATCCCCTGTGATAGGAATGGGTCTGAGACCATGGCTTAGCCAGTGTGAATGAATTCTCTCCCTAGGTAGAGTGAATGTCTCAAGCATATGCTCAGGAAAGACATGATGAGGCAGTCAGCACCCTACAGGACCCTCCTGCTAGAACATGGCCAGACTACTGTATGCTGAGGCAGTTAAGCAGTAGGATGTGGCCTCGGCTGGACGAGCCATGTTGGCTGTCAGGGAGTGTGCATGTTACAGAGACTGAGACTGAGGGCAGACATTGCGCTTGGGACTCCGTTGTGCCAGAATTCACCTACCACTTTAGTTAGTCCACACGACATTAGCTCAGGGCTGCAGGAATAAATATGCCCTCCCCACCCCCCTTAATTTAGCATAAACTAGTTAGCCGAGTTTCTGTCATTTGCAATGGAAAGGATTTCATCTTACTACAAAATCTGAAACTGCTCCACCTTTTCTCCACAAGCTACATTCCCTGTGGCGGTGAATAGCACTGGTGACCACTTGTTCCTCTTGAGCTGCATCTCTCTACGCAACCCCATCTCCATTGCCTGCTCCCCTTCTACCTCACCAGCCACTCTTCATCCCCCTTTTGCTGGCTCCCCTCTTCTGTCAGAAGCCTAACTGTTGGGGTGCCCAGGGCTCGGCCCTCAGGACTCTTCTCTAACCTCACACACTGTCCTGATGGTCTCATCCCATCTCATGACCTTCATCCCAATTTGAGGCTTCTGATGGTTCACTCTCAAATTTATACAGCCATCTCTGGCTCTCCCCAGAGTCCAAAGTGAAATCTCTACTTGTTGACTCTTCATCCTCACATGGACCTCCACTAGGCATATAAAATGTAACCCATCGGAAGAGAACTGGGAGCATCCTGACCTTCTCCAGTTCTCCCCACCTCCAACGATGCCATCACCATCCATGAGTCTACTCCGAGGAAAATACTGGAAGTTATCCCTCATTCTTTCCCTGCAGATCCCCTACTCTTTAAATCCATCAGCAAACCCCGTAACTCTACCTCCAGAATATAGCCTGACATCAGCTGCCAGTGGTGCCATCCTCGGCCAAATCCTTGCCACAGACTCTAGGTTGTCTCACTGCTTCTTCAGCAGCCCTCCAGAGCCTCTTCCTTATTCAGTTCCCAGAAAAATCTTTCTAAAATGTAGATCAGACAAGCCTCCACCCCCAACATTTTAGCATAACTATTTTTGAATATAAAGAAAAGTTGAATACCCATATATCTACCCCTGAGATCCTACCATGAATGCTTTACTTGCTTTATCACATATCTATCCATCCTTCTGTCTATCATTTATCCATCTTATTTTCTGATCCATTTCAAGGTAAATTGCAGACATATTCCAGCATACAATACCCTTAACTAGAGTTCAATATTTGCTTACAGCTCTTTTTTTTCTTTTTTGTCTTTTGAATATATAATGAAATGTACAAGTATTAAGTGTACCATTCCATGGGTTTTGACAAATGCATACATCTATGTAACCCAAACTCCTGTTAGGATATAGAACATGATGTTCACGCCAGAAAGTTCTCTCCAAACTATCTTTTAAAAGCAGTTCAAATGCTTTTCATCTTAATCAGAATAAACCCAGACACCTCATGATGATCTTTTAAGAACATTTTCTCTGCCCCTCTGATTTTAACTTCACTCCAACCTCCCTTGATAAGGTGATCTCCAGCCACATTGGCCCCCTTTCTGTTTATGGAACAAAAGCGCATTCCTGCCTCTGCAACTTCTTGTTCCCTCTGCCTCGGGTGCCCTTTGTTCAGAATATGTCAGTTGGCACTTCTCACCATTCAAACTGCAGCCACCATGTCACCCTTTCTTTATAACGAAACATTTCTGTATATTACATTTCTATATATCTGTAGAAACAGATATATTCAATTTATGTATTGTGTGACTTCCCCACTAGTATAGAGCCTTCATGAAACAGACGTTTTATATCATAATGACCTTTATTTCTCCATCACCCAGAACTTGACTCATGTGAGGCATTCAAGTAATGGTTGCTCGATAAAGGATGATCGAAAGTTTCAAGATTGAGGAGTGGAAGGAACCAAAGAAAATGCCCACGTTTCTGGCTTGAGCCATTGGCTACCTGTGTCTGAGATGGGGAGCTCGAGATTTGGTCTGGATTGGTCAGAGAGTGTAGAAAGTTATGCTTTGGGCATGCTGAGTCAGAATCCACAAGGCAATGGGGTACACAATTCAAGAGAGAGAGGTCTGAGCCTGGCCTATGGGGAGCTGTGGGGGGTTTGGTGGCTTCAGGGCAGCCCAACACTGGGTGAAGTCAAGGAGGAGAGCGTGTCAAGGGTGAAGAGTGACCATCACTGTCAAATGCACGCTGCTGCCTCGTCCTTTTCTCCCCACTCTTTTGCTGGCTGTTTTTTCTTTGTGCTTCCTCCTTTGCCGCTGGGACATCAGTCATCACATGGCTTGTGGCTTCAATGTCCTGTTTACCGTGGCCCCTCTCTTCCCTTCTAATCTGTTTATAACATGTGGTGGACTAGGCAACCAGATAACGCAGCTGGTTAAAGCCATGTGTGTAAAGAGGCTCCCACTAAGTCCTGAGCTGCCCCACAAGTCACCCACTTGGTCTCTGCTCCATGCTGTGGTGATATTTACTTTAGCAGCTGTTTATGGTTTGTCTTATTACACAGCCATATCCTAGTTAGATGAATATGTAAGCACGATGTACATGGAATAGGATTCGGTGCTTCCAGATAGCTCATTGACTCTCCTGAATCTACATCCCCTCATTTGTGTGAACAGAGACATCCTCATCAAAGACTTCAATGCTGTCGCTGAGGCACCCACCACATCAAGCTACGCTGGTGAATTCCACAGTCCACGGGCAGGTTCTAGAGCTTGCACTCTTCCAGCTAAAGCCCTGAAAGGGCTGGGGGTAGGGAGAGCGGTGCCCTGTGCTCTCCTTCACACCCTGCTGCCAAGACTGACCAAGGGCCTCACCCCTCTGGAGGAAATAACAAAAGTCCTGCCCTCAAGTTCTGGGTTCTTCAGTTTTATTATTATTTTTTTATTAGTTTCAAGGGTAGAATTTAGTGATTCATCACTTGCATATAACACCCAATGCTCATTATAACAAGTCCCCTCCTTTATGCCCATCACCCAGTTACCCCATCCCCTCACCCACCCAGCAACCCTCAGTTTGTTCCTTAGAGTTAAGCGTCTCTTATGGGGTGTCTCCCTCTCTGTTTTTATCTTATTTTATTTTTCCTTCCCTTCCCTTATGTTTACCTGTTTGTTTCTTAAATTCCATATATGAGTGAAATCAGATGGTATTTGTCTTTCTCTGACAGACTTATTTCATCTAGCATAATACAGTCTAGTTCTGGGTTCTTCAAAAACTTGTGTAGCATCTCTGGTCTTTGGGGGGGGGTCAGCATATATACACACACACGCCCCACCATGTATACTTTACCTCTGTATGACCCTGGAGCCACCTTGGCATACCCCCATCTCATCATCTATATGGACAGTCTCAAAAGACAGGGGAATAGAACAGGATTTCTTGCCCCAAGGTCCATGTTTGGGTCCGAATCCTCTAAAATTATATGACTATCTGCAGTGTGTGTGTGTGTGTGTGTGTGTGTGTGTGTGTCCAGGTGCATTTTTCCATGGGGAAAGATCCGAAGAACTTATCAACTTCTCCAAGGAGTCTGTGACACAAGGATGGTTTGCTAGAAAGAGGAATGGAGGGAGACACACTTGGAACTGTGGAAAGAGTGTAGGATTGCAGGTGGGGAAATCTGTTGTTGTTTGTGACTCCCCCTTCTCTGCATCATTTATACAAACTGGTTACATAAACCTGGACATCTTACCTACCTGGTTTGTGCCTCAGTCTCTTTACCTGTGAAACAGAGATGACTCAACCCATTCCATGGGCGGAGTGAAGAGGAAATGAGACAATCCTAGTGAAATATTTAGCAAGTCCCTCAATGCAGGCTTGCTATGAATCAATCAAATGTCCATACGTTTCAACTCCCCCATAAACCACGGTGTACATTTGGTGGGTTCTTTACTGTCCCTTTCAGTTTTTGGGTTTTTTTAAAATATTTTATTTATTTGTTTGAGAGAGAGGGCAGAGAGAGATGGAGTACGAGCGGGGGTGAGGGGCAAAGGGAGAGAGACAAGCAGACTTCCCCTGAGCAGAGCCCCATGCGGGACTCAATCCCAGGACCCTGAGATCAGGGCCTGAGCCACCCAGACGCCCCTGCCCTTTCAGTTTTAAGTCTCAGAAAAATCCGGAAGGGGGGGGAGGTTAAGAAGTAATTTCAAGGGAAAAACCAGGTGGCAGGGAGCAAGGTGCCAAACTCACCTCTTAGTCCTGAGGCTGATCAGCAGCCGCGGATGACCAGGCATCGACGCGCCTCGGCCTGCGGGGGCGCCCTGCGGCCGCGGCCCTTGTTCTCTGCCACCTGGCGGGGGCCCCAGCCGCGACCGCGGGCTCCCGGAGCCCTGCTTGGGCGCCCAGCCGTGAAGGGTGTCTACGTGGGCAGAGCAGGCGAGCCGGCGCGTGGGGCTGCAGGGAGGGGTTGTGTGTGTCCATGGGCCCCGGGTCCGCAGCAGGCGAGCTCGCAGCCAGGTGAGCGCAGGGGGCGGGGTGAGAGCCGCCGAGTCAGGGCCGATTGTGAGCTTCGGCCACGCACCGCCCCGCTGCCAGGGCAACCGCTCGGGGGCGCGGCGCGGCGGGGCGGGGCTGGTGTCCGCCAGCCGCGCGGCCCCGCCAGGTGGCCTGGTCCCCGCCAGGTGGCCCGCCCTGCCCGGATGCTGGAGGAGGGTCCTGCGCTCCCAGCGCCGCGGATGGCGGAGGCCGTGCGCCCCACACCGGGGTGCGCACCAATCCTCCCTTCTTTCATCCTCTTCTCCCACCCCCTGCCCTTATTCTAAAAAGCATTTAATTCGCAGCGCTATAAACATAATAATAAAAAAAAATTTTTAAAGAAATAAAAAGCATTTAATTCGAAACGTAAAGCTCCTATAGTAAAGCCAACCAACCAAACGATTACAATATAGAATAAAATAATTTTAAAAGTAAAGTTAAATGAAAAATACATTATACAATAGAATGAAAAAATCTACTTGTCAGAGACAACTGCTGTAGGTTCTTGTAAATCTTCCCAGACTTTTTCTTTGCATACTCTAGGATGCATATAGACTTAAAAATATTTATACACAAATAACAGCAAATCTATCAAGGAGGTCATTTTATTTCAGGGCCTACAAGTGCGCCCTAACATCCCAACCCCCAACACTTTTTTACAGGCAAATTCTGAAATTTTTGTTATGCTTTTAAAAATAGTATACAATAGCTTCTGATTAAAAACAATAGTTCTCCCATCCCAATCTATTGTTTTCTACCCAGAGACTGTTTGAAAATATGATTAAGGACTATTTCGTGAACACAAAGGAATATACTATGTAACATGTGGAAAGGATGAAGAAACAAAGCATACTGTGGCTAAAGAAGTTTGCTTCTACTGCTGGACTCCCTGTAAATTTCTTCCCCAAACTGCACCCTCCCGTTCCTGTCCCCATAGGTAACCACTATTCTGAAATTTGTATTTAGCGCCCCCCTTGCTTTTTATTTTATTTATTTTTTTTAAAGATTTTATTTATTTATTTGACAGAGACCGAGATAGCGAGAACAGGAACACAAGCAGCGGGAGTGGTTCAGGGAGAAGCAGGCTTCCCCCCGAGGAGGGAGCCCGATGTGGGACTGGGTCCCAGGACCCTGGGATCATGACCTGAGCTGAAAGCAGACGCTTAACGACTGAGCCACCCAGGCGCCCCCCACCCCTTGCTTTTTTAAAAATATGTTGCTTCATATGAATGCATCCCTAAAAAATGTGTGTTTAGTATTGCACATTGTGAGAATTTATAAAAATGGAGTAGAATGGTATGTATTGTTTTGACATTTTTTCCTTCCAACATCTTATTTTTGAAATATGCCTTTTTTATGTTTAATTATAGCTCTTTTATCTTAATAGCTGTATACTATTCCATTACATTACCATTCCATACCCCTTTTGAATCAACTCTACTATTGATGGACATTTGAGATATCTCCAGTAGTTGGTATCATAAGGAATGCTGCTATGATCATGTTTGTACGTGTCTATAGATGCACACGTTCAAGAGTTTTTCTAGGGAATATGCCTGGGAGTGACGTTTCTGGACCACAGGTTATTTATAATATCAAGATAATGTATGGGGCGCCTGGGTGGCTTAGTTGGTTAAGCGGCTGCCTTCGGCTCCGGTCATGATCCTGGGGTCCTGGGATCGAGCTCCACGTCGGGGTCCTGGGATCGAGCCCCACCAGGGAGTCCTGGGATCGAGCCCCGCACTGGGCTCCCTGCTCAGCGGAGAGCCTGCTTCTCCCTCTCCCTCTGCCTGCAGCTCTGCCTACTTGTGCTCTCTATCTATCAAATAAATAAATAAAATCTTTAAAAAAAAAGATAATGTCGACTTGTTTTCCAAGTATATATAGCAATTTAGACTCTCCCCATCAGCAGTGTGTGTCTTAGCCAAGACTTGGCTTTGTCACACTAAACTTCTTGCCAATCTAGTGAGTATAAATTGGTATTTCATGATTTTATGTTACATGCTCTGATTAATGATTGTTAGTCTAAGAGCTTGATTTTTTGGGAAATATTTGAGTGTGACTTTATCGGCAAGCTACACTCTTCACCCTCACCTACTTACCACATAACTCTCTTAGATATTTTAACAGGATCAATGTGAACTGTGCTTGAATTTAGTAACCGTAGGGTAGATATTTGATAGTTGAATGAAATCTTGGAGATAATCCATCTGACTCACTGTCCTCACTTGGTTTCTGGGACATTTTTGTCCCCTGAAAGGATACTCTCTGAGTTTCACAAAAATGCTCTTTGTTTTTATGAGCAAGTAGCTGAAAAGTAGCTTCTCCATGATAATCCTATTTGATTTCAAACTTTTTACAGTCTAAGGAGGCTAGGTATGCTGACATACTTACATAGTAGCTTCCTGTCAATGAGGGGGCAGGCAGAACATGGGCAAAATGTTAGAGACCCCACAGATTGATAAGTAGACACGACCTTTCCCCTCTTTCACCAGAAATTTTCAAAACACTGTGAAGCTCTTAACTTGAACTTTGTTTATATTTTTGCTCTTAGCCATTTAGCAGTTGAGTCATCCGAACTTGGGCAACAAAAGGGAAGAATGGGAGTAAAGGGTGCTAACAGTTCTACTGCTTGAAATAAAGCTAATCAAAACGTGGCAGAAAAGTTTATGTAGTTCTTACCAATACAGACTATGAGACAGACTGATGCATGGGTTAAGTTCCCTACCAGTGATCAAATTTGTGCTTCTGTCTTTATCTGGTATTCAATAAAAGTTTATCTTTAAGTTACAACTATGCAAAGGGATTATACATTTAGTACTTCTTAGGTAGTCCCAGGCATTCTGCAAAACACTTAGTAAATAAAGTGATTTTATTGAATTATTTCCCACATCTTTATAAAAATTGTCATTAAAATCCAGTAATAAATTGCATTAGCTACCAGAGCCCTTAAATTCTTATTTACTGGCCTGAAAGGCCAGCCACGGAGTAGTTGTTCCTTAGCAATACTATATTAATTAATTTAAATGTGAAAATAATTGAAATATGAGTTAGTAACTGGTGTGGCATTCCAATGGCTGATGGTATATTTGACTGGAAATAAAATCTATTAAATTGTTATGGATCTTTTTGTAAGACTGAGGCAAAGTTTGTAGAGTTTATTGTTGTTACCTTTTCAAAAATATTACAAAATTCATCTTTTATATTGCCCATGTGTTTGTGTTTTTTCCCTTCTAAAAATAAATCTTTCAGAGTGCCTCAGAGTTATGGGGGAGGCTGTTGCTATGTTGCACTGCACATTGATTTAAAGCTTTATGTATCGTACAAGTAAAGGACGGATTGCTAACATATTTAGTTGTTTCTTCCAAAGGGAAATAAAAACATGTCAAAAAGCTTTGAAATGGAAAATACATTCATCGACAACATAGAGCACTGCTTACTACTTTCATTTAGGACTTAGACGGCTTCTTTTATATCATAGCATTTATAAAACACCTCTTTTTTTTTTATTATGTTATGTTAATCACCATCATTAGTTTTTGAAGTAGTGTTCCATGATTCATTGTTTGCGTATAACACCCAGTGCTCCATTCAGTATGTGCCCTCTTTAATACCCACCACCAGGACACTTCTTGAAGAAGTGAATACTGAGCAGGCATAGAAAAGTCTGGATAAATGGATAAATAAATGTATTCATATCAGGATCTGTACTTTTCTCTGGCCTAGAGAATGATCTAGGATCTCTGATCCTCCTAAGATCATGGAGAAAAATGTTTGTGAATCTGAAATAAACACCTCAAAATTTCTCTTGTCCCTGAGCATTTTTCATATTTGTAGGTTACTGCTGTATTATTCAGATTTCCTGAGTACTTGTTTATTTTTAAATTTACTGTATCAATCTAATTCTTAGAATATATTAAATTCCTCAAAGTTAGTATACTTTTATCAAGTTCTTCCATTTCTGGTAATTTTCACCGCCATACTGTTTGTGCATATAGATTTATTATATATCTGGTTCCTAGTTTTTGCTTTTTACTGTTCTGTAATGTCTCTCCTTTTCTTAAGGAGTGTCCATGACCTTTCATTCCTCCCGGACTAATAATTTTTTTGTTTGCCTTCCATCCAATGTCTCATTTTTAAACTTTCATTATCAATTTACAGGTATATTTCTGTAAATACTATATAGCGAGGTTTTTCTATTATTATATCAAATCTATCTCTGTCTTTTGATGAGAGTGTGGAATATATTGACATTTAGTGTAACAAGGGATATACTCGGTTTTAGTCTATTAATCCTATTGCTTATTATTTCCTTTTCTCTGTTACGACCTCTTTCTTTTTCCTTATTTTTCTGGTTTGCTCAAATTCCACCTTGTTAACTTAGGAAATCTGATGGACTTTTCTATCCCATTAATAGCCACCTTGCATTTTCAGGCACTAATAGTCTATTTTTTCATTTTATAAAAATAAGATAACGCTTCCCCACTTATTTCCATATGCTCTGTTCTCTCAATGCTTTCCCCACTGTCATTTCCCCAAATACTCTTCTACTCTTAGATCTTGTGGATGTCACATTTCTCCACATCTCTCTCAAGAGTTGACACCAACTGTTGAATTTGGCCAAAATAACTTAAAACTTCTAATTTCAGGCATTATGTTATCACTGGCAGTATGCATCTTCCATATCAGTGTGTAGGACACATTTCTAGGAAATCTAATCTTTTTCATTGAAAGGCAGTTTCACATTGTAGTTATGAGCTTGGGCACGTGAGTCAGAATGCCTGGGCTTGTGTCTCAGCTCCCCTGCCTACCAACCATGTAAACTTGGGCAAGTTAAATAACTTATTTGTGCCTCAGTGTAGAGAATAATACCATTGTGGTCGGTTAAAACGTCCACACATTCTTTAATCCTCCCCTCAAAGAAGTGGAGCCTAATTCTGCCCACCCCCCTTATGTGTGCTGAATTTCATCTCTTGCCTCTAGTGACTAGAATAAAGTGGAAGTGACAGTGTGTGACATCAGAGATGAGATCATAAAAGACACTGTGGCTTTGGAATCTCTCTCTCACACACAGTGTTCTCTCACGGGGAAGTCAGCCACAAGGACAGGCAGCCCAA